TAGGCAATTTCACTAAACTTTGGCCACTGGTGAAGAGAAGACAAAGTTTATTTGTCTCTGTCTTCAGAGTTGAGGGTAAGAGTTCTAATTCAAGCTTATTTCAAATATAGAAGGCAATTCACATTTAGATACCAGAGGACTTCTTCAGATTCTTCCGATGTTGAAATAACATATTACAGTTGTTAACTGATAATGTATTTTAAACTGACCTGTGGAGCTTGCATCTGCATTCTCTGATTTCTTCCCCTCCTCCCTCCCCATTCATATTTAAATTCTACATCAGTCTAGTCCATATTTCTCAACCAGAGGAACTTTATTTGCTTAAAATATGTTTATTGTGCTTTTTTCACCTTGACATATCTCAATCACATCTTCAAGTACTGTGGGATCATTGTTACAAATACAGATCTCTATACATTTCTATTCATTTCTATACATTTCTATACATTTTTCTTATCTCTATTATTCTTATTCCTACTATTTACCCATTCATACCATTTATTCCACACCACGTGGCTCTTCTTTGCCTTTTAATTCTGGAGTGAGTTTGTCCATTTCGGCACATTCTAATATCTTTTGAATTACTAATCTTTCTGGAGGTATATTATCTCTCTTCCAACCTTGTGCATATGCAATCCTCGTGGTTGTTGATATGTGTAAAATCTTATATTTCATCTCTTTACTGTATTTCCCCTTAATTATCCCTAAAAGGAACAGTTCAGGTTTAAACTCTTAAATTTGACAGTTCATTATTTCTTTTAGTTCTGAATTTTAATCCAATATTTTTTAGCTTCAGGGCAAAGCCACCACATATGGAAGAAGGTACCATGCCTCTGTCCATATTTCGAACAATTTGGTTTCAAATTAGGGTATATTTTTGCCAATCTCATTGGAGCCAAATGCCAACGATAAAACATCTTATATTGATTCTCCTTATATGCCGCAGATCTTGTTATTTTGTAATTCCTGCTCCAAATTCTTTTTGTGTCCAAAATTTTTGGCCTATGCTATCATGGGCCCTTTAACTACTTCCTCTTCCAATTCGAATCTTAGCAAGTAATTATATATTCTTGTTATTAATTTCTCCTCCGGGCCTACCAAAATTTTATCTAGTTGTTGTGGCTCATTATCAAATCCATATTCTTCTGCGTCCTTTTTATATCTCATTTACAGTTGCAGGTATGGCCACCAATCTGTAAACATTCCTTGTTCTTTCAGCTCCTGGTTAATTTTTAATTTCCCATGGTTATCTAGTAGTTCATTATACCTAGCCATTTTACCTACATCTAATGTATTGGGGTGGATCATTGTCTCCATGTGGATAGCCAGCCGGCTATTTTCATATAGCGTTTTTTCCTAATCTTTTCCTAAATCTGTATCAATGAATCCCTCATTTTGTGTCTATAAAAATATGAATGTTTTTTATTTCTTCTATCCCACAAGAAGGCATGCCACACCATCTGCAGGTCATTTCTTTCCAAAGTTAAAATTCTTTTATTATTTAAATTCACCCACTCCCTAATCCATATTAATGCAGCTGCCTTATAATAAAGTTCCCAATCTGGAAGTCTTGAAGCCACCTCTACTTCTACTATTTGTAATGCTATTAGCTTTATTCATGCTTTTTTGCCTGCCCATACAAATTTTGTGGTTATTCTATTTAATTCTATAAAAATCTTTTTGTCTAATTTTATGGGGATTGTTTGAAATAAATAAAGTAATTTAGGTAAGATATTCATTTTAATTGTAGCAATTCTTCCTAATAAAGATAATTGTAGTTTCCCCCAAGATTCCAGATCTTTCTTTACTTGTTGGCAGTTTTATATAATTGTCTTCCTTTATTAAGTTAACAATATTCCTAAGTATTAGACCTTCTTTGTGACTTGCAATCCCATTTCCTTTTCTAATTCTATAACCAGAGGAACTTTAAGATGTGTAGATTTCAATTCCAGAAATTCCCCATCCAGCATGGCTGTCGCAGAATTCTGTGAGATGAAGTCCACATTTCTTAAAGTTGTTCAGGTTGGAAAACATTGTCTAGCCACTCCACTGCATCTGATGAAGTGGACATAACTTACAAAAGCAGATGCCTATTAATAAAATTAATTAATTTGCAAAGATGGGACCAGGCTTCTTCTGTGATGACTTACACAGCTCTCTACCTACAGTTCCTTTCTTTCAGCACAGGTAGGGCATCTCCCCCCCCCCCAATACACTTTAACTTTTTTCCCCTGATAGGGCATATAGTATTACTGATTAATCCAGCCTGAAATGATATTTTGCACCAAGGTGTGGTTTATAAAGGCATAAAATAAATTCAGGAATAGGTTAAATAGTGTTGAAGAGACAGAATGGACAAGAATTTTGAACTTCCTTGAGGACATTAAAGGCAATCCTGCCCTCCAGTGGTCAGTAGTGCATAATGCAGGGGCTTCATTTTCTCTGGCTGTTTGCTGCATGATTCCTAAATACAGTTGCCTTTGCCTTTCCTATTCACATCTTGTCAACCTTTTTTCGAGTACTGCAAATAGCTAAAGGAGCATTGAATATTTGTTGCCCTAAATTGTATAAAATCCAAATGATATTATATTCTCATTCTGTTTGATAAATGCCTCTGGCACCTTTCTTATTAGCACACAGTCCAGAAAAAAAATACTTCTCATTTTAGGTTTACAACACATTGCTCAATTACTTTGCATTACGGTAATTCCTATGTGGGTTTTTTTTTGTTGTTTTTTTTTGCTGTTTAAACAAAGTTGTTCTCAAATCTGGGATTATTCCTCTTTGAAGTGCTGTCCAGGCCAATTCTGGTTTCAAATTTGAATGCCTCAATGGATCTGTGAAACAACTGTCCCATCAAATAAATACAGGTTGTCTTTGACTTACAACAGTTCATTTAGTGACTGTTCAAAGTTACAACAGCACTGCAAAAAGTGACAAAGTTACAACCATTTTTGACACTTGTGACCATTGCAGCATCCCTATGGTCACATCAGTGGTGGTATTCACTGGATTGGGCGAATCAGTAGCAAGCATTTGGTGTGGGTTGCCGAACTGGTAATAAGTTCTGTCTGGCCATGCCCCCGACCTGGTCACCCAGTCACCGCTGGCTCGCTTGTCCCGCCCACCCGATGCTCACTCGCCCTGCCCGCCTGACACTGGCCCCTTAAGGTATTTCTTTTTTTCCCCTCCGACAATCAGCTGTTCATATGATCAGCTGTGACGGGATTCCTCTTGCTGAGGCCCAGGAAGGCAAAAAATGGAGGGACGGGCCCCCTCCCTCCATTTTTTGCCTTCCTGAGCCTCAGAGGATCCTTCTGGGAGCAAAAATGCCCCCCCCCCCGGAGGCTCTTCTGAGGCCCTGAAGGTCCCAAAATGGAGCGTCCTCCCATGCTCTGTTTTTTTTCTTCCTGAACCTCGGAGTCTTCTAGGAGCAACCCCTCCAAGGCTCTTCTGAGGCCTAGAAGGCCCCCAAAACGGGTGTGTGACAGTAACTGCAAAAAAAGAAAAAAAACCACGGCCAACAGTCACTTGGCCATGCCCACCAAGCCATGCCCACAGAACCGGTAGTAAAAAAATTTGAATCCCACCATTGGGTCACATAATTTATATTGGGATGCTTGACAAGTGACTAATTTAACAACTGCAATGATTCACTTAAGAAGCGTAGCAAGAAAAGACGTAACATGGGGCAAAACATATTTCTCATTTAACTACATAAATTTTGGACTCAGTTGTGGTTGTAAGATGAGGACTACCTGTATCCTGTTTGCATGTGGGTTGGGTAATAGTGAGAGAGAACAGGGCACTAATGGGCGCTAGAAAGTAAAAGGTAGGGTTAGGAGCTGAGGTATCCATGCAGGGAAAAAGTGAAACAATGCGATTTCTGCCCCTTTGTTCTTACATGCAATGTCTGCACACATTACAAAAGATCAAGTTACATTGTGATTGTAATACACGTTTTATCATTTTATAATATTAAAAGATAATTTAGACCATCAATACCTGGAGGTCCTTTTACAGATTTTGATATATTTAGTATATAAATAATCCATTTTGATTATTTACTGGTGATTATTATGGAGAAATATTTAGTGGCTGTTAAGAGGATATTCTCTAAAGTTGGTTGCATGCAAGCTTTTAGAAAGCATTAATCTGGAAGAAAAGCCCATGCTTACAAAATTATTCAATGAGTCACTTTGAATAGCAACACCCTCAAATGTCTCTTCACTTTGATGGGCATTACAGAAGCTATCCAGTCATTGACATGTCCCTTATGTTTTTAGAAACAGTCTGATATATGAGAAAGGAGCCACAAGTTTAATGTTACATTGCTACAAACAGCTCCAAATAGACTGATATAAATCCTATTATAACCATTATTTATTTATTTATTTATTTATTTATATTTATTTATTTATTTTGATTTGTCAATCGCTTACAAGATAATAGGTATAAGTATATACATAGTTATGAATACATGAAATGGATACAAATAAAAAAGAAACAATAGGACAGGGACGGTAGGCACATTGGTGCGCTTATGCACGCCCCCTACAGACATCTTAGGAAAGGGGTGAGGTCAATAGTAGACAGTCTAAGGCTAAAGTTTTGGGGGGTTATATATTTTGGGGGTTTAATATATTTAAGTTGTAAATATTTCTAAATATATATATCTATGCATGTGCATAATAAATACAGAAAATATGCAAGCAAAATGATGACCTTGTATCATTTTGGTGATATTGTTTTCTCTTTGGGGCAATGTGTATGTGATTTTTGTCAAATTTAGTTCACTGAATTCACTGAACCAAAAGTGAATGCGACACTACTAGATTTTTTTAAAAAAACAAATATGCTGATATCTTGCTCCTTTGGCCTAGTAAGATAAATGAATATTCTTGGAGTAAACAGAGGAAGTGTACTGCATTTGTCTCATATTTATTTTTAAAATGAAAACTTCTTAAGAACCGAAAAGAGAATGGAGGAAAAGGAGTTGCTTATTTCACATTTTCTTTATTGATTGCCACTGGCTGGAATTTCAGGTTGCATGCTAGATATCAGTAAAACAGATGGAACTATATTAGAATTACAGCAAGATTAAGGAAGGTGGCATATACACTGCTGACCAGGGAGAGCTGAATACAGGTTTGAAGCCTCTGAACTGTGATGAATCCTGAAAGGCCTGCAAAGATGCTAATTCTTGCCTTAGTGACTCTTGCGATGTCACTGCTATGGATGTCGCAGAGGGAAAGTTTTTGTTTTTGTTTTTTAAAAACACTTTTAATGAAGAAAATTATAAATCCCTCAAATAGTATGAACTCAATTTTTTTACTTAAAAGTGGGCAGAGCAAATTTGTTGCTACTGTCAACCACTCCCCACTGGTGCCACCACCTTACTTGGCTAAGCTCACCTCTGCTCCTGCCTCTTCAATTACTTTAGAAGACAACAAATCTGTATTCTTGCTTTCATTGCATCAGCCTTCATATGACTGATTGATGCTTCACTTTGACAGCTCATGTTGCCAACCTGGCCCTGTGTTAGGGCTTGACAGATGTTATCAGATACAGCCTGACATTTAGAACCCTTTCAGCAAGAATACAGAAGGCTCTGGAAGATACTTCATCTTCCCTGTCATCCTAACAAGGTGTGTGAAAGTGGGGGAAAGTTTAGGCTAAAGCTTCAAATCCTCTAGCTGCACATCCAGCCCTCATTCCTTCCAAGAGAAGAACGAAAACAAAAAGAAAGATGTTCACGGATATCTATGTAAGGGTGCTGTGAATGAAGCCTGAAAGGTGTGGATAGCCTGGATGCTTTAGCAGTAAGAGGTTCAAACTAAGAGGACTGAGCTGAAGTTGGCTTCTCTTCATGGGATACAGGAATAGGTCTTCCACTATGGCCAGGCTCTGTGGCAGACAGAACCTTGGGAGCAGAGAAGGTTAGCATGCCATCGGTAGACAGAGAGCAAGTGATGGCTGATTGGTCAACAGTGGAAGGAAGACGGTATCGACGATGGAATTCACGGGAAATGTATCCATGGTCATCCTGAAGTGAGACACCACAAAAACAAAAGCAAAACAAAACTCATTAAAGGGTGTAGTTAACAGGTAAGTCCTTCAGAGTCAATTGCTCTGCCTGGTGCAAAACAGAGTTACAGAAGCAGAAACAACCCAACATATATCCCTTCTGTATTGCTTTCCTCTTTTCTTTCCCCTCTTCAAAGAGCTGTCCAGAGCAAATTCAAAATGCTAGGTGTACTTTATAAAGTCATGCATGATATAGCTGGTCATATATTCCATACAAGGCTGTATCTTCATATTGTAATTGGTGCAAAATGCAGTGACCTGCTTCTTGGCTAGTACCAGTCACCAGAGCATATAACACCTATATTGCAGGCCCAGCATTGACTACCTGCATTTTCCCAGGTGCAATCTGAAGTGCTCCTGCTGACTATAAAGCCTTCAATGGCTTGGAACCCAGTTTTTCGAAGTACCACTTTCCCCAGCCAGAATCAACCCATCCTTGGATTATTACTATGCTATCCTATCCTATCCTATCCTATCCTATCCTATCCTATCCTATTCTAGATAGCATCTTGATTCATGACAGCACTCATTTCATTCACAGGATTTCAAAAACGCCATTTTTAATAACCACGTCCGTCCTTTCTTTCAGGGAGCACATAACATCTTCTCCTTTTCCTTCTGTACTGTCAGAACAACCTTGTGAGTCAGACTGTCTTATATCTATAGGTGTCATGTAAGAATCCATCCATTACAATGTAACCTACAGAGCAAACATGAAGATAGTGAATATAAATCAATCCTATAGTTGATGGACTTCAATAATTTTAGGGAAAACTAACAAAAAGATGACCCTGAGGAAAATAAACCAAGGAGAGATGCAAAAGGTCATTTAGATTGCATCTGAAAAGCATGGTGGCTTTCAAACTTTTTAGTTGAGTTTTGAAAGTGTGCAGTTGTTTAATTCCTTTTCTAGTGCCTAAACTGGGCTTCTGTATCTTTCTGTACTTCCATGATGTGAAGGCCAAGATCATGTTTGTAGCCCTGCTTCTTCTAAGAAAGCAGACCAATCCCTTCTTTAACATCACTCCTGAAGATATAAAGACTCTTCCTGAAAACATTTGGTGGGGAAAAAAAATGGTATTACTGATCATTAAACGTATTATAGTGTTTTTGTTTAATTGGAGAAATTCCAATTAAATTATTGGGATCATGTTTAGATTTAGCTTTTTTATTTTTATCTTACTGTGTATGTTTTAACTATACATTTGTACTGCAACTGTTTTAATTTCTAGTTGTAAATTGCCAGGAATCCCTAACAGATTCAGTGATATACAAGTGCAATAAGTACATAAAATATCATGCTGTTTTGGACATGTTCAGTTAATGTTAATAAACATAATTTAAGGCTTTGGGTACTTCCACACAAAGGGACATGCAATACTTTGAAAGCAACTGCAGACCTCTATGTAGATCATCTGTCTACCTCTGTGGACTTTTCCACTTGATACTGGTGTGAAGTCTGTAAGTCACATTGAACTTACAATTCCTTCCCAAAGAGCAGGTGGCAACTATGGCCAACATGACATTTGCACAGCTCCAGCTAATGCACAAGCTGTGGCCATTCCTTCAGGCAGTTGTTCACACCCTCAGTTACTCATTCCCTAGTCACCTCAAAAATGGACTTTATGCTCTACCTGGCACTTGCCTTGAAGACTACTTGAAACAACAGCTTATCCAGAATATGGCACAATATACCAATGGGATGTTGCTGTTCCATAAGCTATACTTATAAGTTGGCATCCAGGTGCAGATTCAAAATGCTAGTTATGCTTTATAAAGTCATTCATGATATAGGACCTGCCTATCTAGGGAGATCAGACAAAAGAGTCTCTTTGATTAATCAGGGAGATCCATCAGGATCTCAGAAATTACTTTTCTGTTGTAATGGATGAACATCCTCCAAAAGATCTGCACAGCTCCTATCTGTATGTACATACATACATACATACATATTAGAGTTAGCCATGTAGTATCAGCTTGTAAGTGGTATTAAATAAACAGGTTTTCATGATGTCAGCAGTGTTGAAAAGCTAACCAATGTAATACTTTATTAGCCACACTGTAGATGAAAGCTAGAGATTTGAGGAGGATTTGCCACTGTGGGGGAGCTCTTGTTCTCTCATCCTCCTTCCAACTTTTAAGCGTCAAGTCCTACAAAACAGATATTAGCTTGAGATGTCTATAGTTCCTTTCCCATTCCCATCACAAACTAGACAAAAGGAAGATGGGAAAAACTGGCAACCTGTTTTCTCTTTCCATCTTCCTTTTGGCAGGGAGTTGACTGTGCTGCAAAATGCCAGAACTTCGAAGCAGGGGGCAGTATTTTTGTTTTTCCTTTTCTTTTCCTTCTTTCCATTTTGAAAGTGAGAAAACTGTCATAGTGAAAGCAGCAGTGACCTACAGTAACTCTGCTTACTGCCAGGAGTTCAATCCTGACCAGCTCAAGGTTGACTCAGCCTTCCATCCTTCTGGGGTTGATAAAATGAAGACCTAGATTATTGGGGGCAATATGCTGACTCTGTAAACTGCTTAGAGAGGGCTGTAAAGTGCTATGGAAATATATATATATATATATATATATATATATATATATATT